GCAGTAATAACTAGTTTCCCTCTGTGAACTTTTGTATCCTTTGTTTAATCAGATATTTGATCTAATCTCTTTGAATTGCAGAGGGCTGACATCGGCATGAACATGTCCGGAGTGAGTTACTTTGGTTCGCTTACTTAAAAGGTTAAAACAGTATTCCGTACATCTAGAAAAACACCTTTCGGCGTTACGGATTAGGTTTAGTGTTGGCCTTGCTTTATCCATTTCATTTCTTAGCGAGATGATTTGCCCAACTTAAAAATATATGGACACAATCTTCAGATGGTTTGTCTTTCAAACGAAACCTCGGTGGCAGGAAGAAATTTGAATTTTTTGGTGAATTTTTCTTTGGCCTGTCAAGAGTGAAGTGGGTTGAAGACACGGGCAAAACAAAGGATCTTAGAACGTCTGCCTCATAACTTGGCTGTGCCACTGAAAGTTAAAGAACTGTCTTCTGAATCGAAGTGCATGGTCCGAGATAAACTTACAAAATAGACAGTTCAGAAGAGAACTCTTTCGTGTTAGAGGCCGTTGCTAACACTTTCGCTCTCAAATTAAACACGAGGCCAGTTTGTGAATCGTTTATAGAAGCTAATGATTTTATTGTGTCGAAACTCTAGGCCAACTGATAAAGTGGATACGCTTGAACTAAATGCCGAAAGCTTTACTTTAAGTCTCACCTGGTATTACGTGCAGCTCTAAGCAGTCTCTCAACGATGAGAGGAAAAGAAATTGTTGCCATGTGTCCGGAAGGTTAAAAGGAACAGGAGACAGGCAAGAATGTAGCTCGTAGAACGTCACCGACAACTTCGATTTGCTAACTGAACTGAATAATAATTCAGCATTGTACACAGCCGGGGGGTGAAAATTGAATAAAGAGATGATAAAGATATTTTTAAGCCGCGTGCACGTACAGCCGATATTGCATTGTTTATAGACTGTTGGTAGTTTTGAATACGAATTTAGCCATAAAAAATGAACAGTAAGTCTTTCCGGAAACGCTTCAAAGCCACGCAAAACAGAAACCGAGCTTTTAACGAAAGCTAATTTTTGAAAGGAGAAAATGCTTGCCTAGCTGAAAACTAAGTCAAATGGTACGGCGAACTAAGAAAAAGAACTTTCCCCGAGAATAGAAGAAAGAAACACGAAAGTAAAAAGAGTTCTACTTTTAATACGGCGGTGTTAAATGAACACAATTCACGTGGACTGCTGACCAGCGGTTCGGCTTGCGTGCTGACATTTCCTGGTTGTTATTGTACTACTAGGCCTATGTCACGGCGTTTTTACGGGCTGCTTTATTTTTAGACACATTTTAGGGCAAATTTTCCCACGAAAATGGAATCTCCACCACATGTAGAACGCATTCGAAGTGTAAGATGTCAAAAACGAAAACCTAACGTTGTCATTCAAAGAAAAAGAATATCATTTTTAGGTCTGTACGCTTTGCTGACTGGTTTGTGGGAGTTTAAAGATATTCTTAATTCGCACCAAAACCGTTCTAAAATAAACTGGTCCGTGAAAGCGCCATGAAAGTTGCTCGCTCCATGGGCTCCTGACATAAACCCACGGATGAAGAAATACAGTACGAAATAAGCTAGGAGACCTCTCCACACAGCCCAACCAGCCTCTTAATTCCGTAAGAATCATTTGTTCTTGTGCTTTTAATAAAGGGATTTATTACGACGATCTACTAGAGCTTGTGATAAAACCCTCCCTTCCGGAGAGGGGATTTTCCGTGTCCCTTTTTCCCATGTCTGATGAGAGAGGACTGGAAACAACTCGCTATTGTGTTTTCAAAATAATGGCGGCCGGGTAAATCTGTTGCAGACTATTCGTTTCAAGGACGACTGTTTCATATGTACTTAGTCCTTTATTTGCGGAAAAGTTATTGTTTCAAGGTAAGATAACAGTTTTTTAAATTTATCATTCTTCTGATTCGACGGGAGGATGTAAACGATCACCTGATGCACGTGCATTTCACCATGAACCATCTACAGATTTGCAGAGTCCCGTTTTATTGTTTTGACGATCGATTTGGCTGAGAATTATTCAGGAAAGCTTAAGTCGTTTACCGGAGAATCAGAGCACGGAATGAATGATAGCCGGCAGCTGATGTATTGATCTCTACAGCCGTATGAACCATCGATATTATAAATCAGAATTTGAAGCTTCTGCCGCTCAGTTATGACTTGAAAAATGGCGTGACCCTCATTATTGAAATCGATTGAATCAGTGTATCGCCGGCCTACCAGCCTAGAGTTATGCAAGTTTTATTTGACGGTTTGCTAATTTACGATAGAAATTGTCTTGGGAATTCATGGGAAGCGAATTCCCACATCCACTCTGTGACCCCATCATTCGGACCTCACAGTGAAGAGGGGTCAATATTCTCAACCATTCCTAGAAAACTTACCACGGGATGTTCCTCATCGTGATTCTGAAATACTAAAATTGGCTCATAATTAAGTTGGAGTCACCTTAAACGTACCCAAAAGGAAGATAATTTCCAAAAGCTGTAGAAGGAGCTGGTGACGCATTATGTCACGTGACTTGAAGCCAACACCTCCCTTGATCAAGTTTTATTTTCCCTTCTATCCCCTAGTATAGTGGGTTGTTGTGACCGCTCTGTGTCTCAATTTGAGGGAAAAAAACTTGTGGAACCAGTGTAGAGAAATTAAATGCACCAGAAAAAACTGACTGGCAGCCTGCTGACAGACTTATAATGTCAAGTTCCAGTGTAGGAGTCTATTTTTTAAAATAGCCTCCTCTACCCCTGCCCAGAACTGGACTACAGTTGAAACGTATGATGTTTGATTACAAGGATAGAAAACACTTTTTGACTACTTGTTAAATTGTGGGAACTTACTGCAGCTAGGATTAATAGCCTGAGTCTGCAGGAAAATCCATGGGCAATCAATATTTAACAATTATTCCTTGAGCCCGAATGGGCTATTGACTCAGAGGCCATGAGGGCCAGAGGAATAATAATCCAACTAGCTGGTCAAAAATATCGAGACAAAACAACTTTGGCTAGCAAAACGCGATTCAGCCGCCACTGTTTTGGTTTTCAATGCCGGCGCTTTTTGTTATTATTGGGCTATAACATAAAGCCTAGTAGTAGCTCAACCAATCAGAAGGCAGATTTGATAATACACCACTAGTTGGATTTTACTAAATGGGAATAGAGATTTAAACTTAATCTTTCATTGCGTACTTGCTGGTGAGTAATTTGGCTTAAGACCTTTTTCAGAATTCAGCTTTTTCAACAACGTTTTGTCACCTCTCCCAATTGAGTTTCTTGAACAGGCTAGCCTATAACAGGTGAAATGGATAGGAAAATAGGTCATTCCCTTACATCTTTTAAACATATACTGTAAACTTTGGTTTATGAGCCCGAGGCTTATACATCTTTGTAAGGGTTTTAAGAGGGCTTACAAAAGGAGGGGCTTATATCTGAGGAGGCTTATAGCCAGAATTGAAAAAGCATGTCAATAAAAGCCATAGCAGAGCTAATCAAAATACGTTTTGCATTTGCTGGTTTTTAATTAAGCTTCAAAATGGCCTAATAAATCAAACTCATTTCAATACGGTTGGGGGAGGGCTTATTTCCCCGAAGGTGGGTGGGCTTACAACCCAGATGTAATTTTTTGTTTATAGTTAGATGGGCTTATACCTGGGGTCCTTATAAGTGGTGAGGCTTATAAGCAGCAGTTTATGGTATTGAGCAAAACCACCAAACCTTATTACTTTCCCAAAATTTATAATGAAAATGTCAGAACATTAAATTATTCTTTTATTTTTATTTATAACATAACAAAAGTAAAGTGCGCGCTCTGATTGGTCAATTACCCACTTACTATTTGGGCATTTTCCTCATAGTTTGCAAAGATTTTTGTCTTAATACTGAAAGGAAGTTTTACAAAGACCGTTAAAGATAACGTAAAAGGTTTTGTAATCCACTTTGAGACAGCGAACTACTTATTCAGCAAAACGACAGAAAGGAACAAACAAACAAAAGAATTTGCTATGAATGATTTACACAAGCCATCTGCGCGAGCACATGACAGCACTCTCATCATTTCCCTGCTATCTGCAAGTGAAATTAAAAGAAGTTTTTCTCTTTTTTGCGTTCCACGAAGGAGAACGCTTACTATTTGTGTACCGTACATGAAGCAGGAACCGTTGTGTATGCCATGCGATTCAACGGTATGGACGCCATCTTAGACCGGCCTGGCACAGTTTGCCTCGATCTCATGTGTTCAGTGTTTCTCACTCGGGAGCTGGTATCTATTTTGTGACACTCGTTCACAGCCTTTTTGTGCGAAAAATAGCTTTAATCTGGGGAGTGAAATGCGAAAAATCAAACTTCAGACAATCGTAGGGAATTCATGAGATGAGCTTCGAAAATTGAACATGAATGGAACGGTCACAGGTATAGAAAATTCTAGGCAAAATTTGCTTCTCCGAACAGATAACTTACAGAAAACTGTCGTTGAGAACCCCCGTTGTTTCATGCTTATGCCGAGCCGTTTACCATTCGTTAAATATTATTGAAATTACATGGGGTTGGGGAGTGCTCATCCTGAGTCCAAGAAGATTAATCTTTTTTTAAAAAAATGTGTCTGAATAAGATCTGATTAACTTGCATCCATGTTCTTAACCGGGGGTCTCTTCTATTTGATCATTGGTCTCACTTTACCTACAAGAAAACTAGTAATAAAATACACTCTCCTTTGAGGTTCCTTTTCCTGAGAAACTTTAATTCTGAAGACCACCAACCAAAACGTAAGAGTTTCTACATTTATAAGAACTTGTGAAAGTGTTCATGGTACAAACGATTAATTATGTACACTTCTTTACCTTAGGCCCTGGAACCCGAATCTACAACGTCGGCTTCTTAATTGATGCCTAAGCTGTAAGCAATACTTTATCTACATTGTTTAAGGTTTATGGTTTAGGAAAAGTGTTACGTTTCTCCTAGCTGAACTAATTACAAACTTTTATCAGATTTCTAGTTCCTCCTGTTCCAATTCTGAGTGGACTCTGTGATGTCCTTTCAAACCGGAAAAACAGGCAAACGATTTACTGCATCGCTTACAATGGTATGGTCGGTCTCCAGTGTGAGTTCTTGTGTGACTGCGAAGCGTGACAGCCTGGGTGAAGCTTTTGTTACAGTGGTGACACTTAAATGGTTTTTCACCTGTATGAATGCGTGTGTGCGTTCTCAAGTTCGAGTATTGTGTGAACGCCTTGTTGCAAAACTGACAGCGAAAGGGCCGATCGCCGGTGTGAGTTCGGATGTGATCCCGAAGATGCGAGGATTTGCCGAAGGACTTCTCACAGTGCATGCATTGAAATCGCTTTTGCTTTTGTCGTCTTTGTTCCTCTTGAGGTGAATTCAACGACGAAGACGAAGATTGATGTGAAAGAGCAAAAGGAAAAGCTCCTGGACTTTCCAATGCCTCGGTTTTTTGTTTATGAAGCAAAGGAGATAATCTTTCTTCCCTGAGCCTGCACATCATATCATGCGGTTTCATCTGCGACAGGTGGTGCTCGTAAAGGCGATCGGGATACAAGGTGGTGACGCAGAGTTGACAGTTGCAGCGAGGGCCATCTGGAAAGTGAGTAAAGATATTTTTAATATAACACCAAAATATATTAGGCAATTAAGCTCAATCAATATATCGCAGTAGGACCCAGATAAATAAATCCAAAACACAATTGGAATAGCAAGGTTTTTAAATAAACGCATTGTATCAAAGTTAATGCAACTTTAATGATTTGATTATTGTTAGTGATTTGCAGGGGGAACTAATATTTGCTGTTAATTTCCTGATGGAAATTACTTTTAGAATCCAATTTCGAAGACATCACTTTTTGCCATGAAATTAAATTAATTGTGCTGTCTTCTGGGAAAGAAAATAATAATGGTGTTTTCAGAGCACGCAAGCTTAACTGAATTGAATACACGTATACTCGAAACCAAAAATCCTAACTTCAAATCATGTGCACACATTTCAAAGAAAATTCACGAGGAATTTCTTTTATTTGTAGAGTTCTATCAAGTTATTACACGTGTGAATCTTTATCAATAATACGGTTTTCTTTTTTTCTTCACGCCACCTGTGTTTTTAGGCTTTTAAACAAAGGGAAGTGTGTCCTGCCGAGAGTTGCTCTTGGATTAAATAAAGAGACGGTTTTTTTTTCGGCATCAATGCGTAGAAGTAATAACACCACTCTCTTACCTAGTCCCTAAAGTAAAATTCTTCTTGGAACTAAACACAAGGTCACTTGCTGGGATATCTATAAATTATCCAATCTTTCTTTCTTTTTTTTTCGTACATCTTGTGAAATTAAAGGTCATACTTTCTAACATAATTTGCACTATTAAAGGAAGCAAGTTGAATGAGTCAGAATATATATTTGCCATCCTTAAGGTGGAATACTTCAGTTAAAAGTTTTACGATTTATTTTGATAATTTGCTTTCTTTTCTCCCTAATTTTTTTCTCTGAATCATCGAAATTGCAGATTAAATATTCATAGTTAAAATTTAGAGGATAATGACTAAACATCATTACAGTACAAACTATTTCTTTCTTTACTTCAGACTTTTTGTTCGCCTCCTTTAGTTCACTGACATAGCTGGCACTTCAAAAAATCAAAAAATTCTTACGATTTCGCTCTCGGCTTTTCATTGGGTACTTCTCTAGAACAAACTGAATAATCTTTAATATCGCTTAAATCGGCAATGGATTTTTACGTACAGGCCATAATTTATCTCGATTCAAGGGCAGAGGGACACTGTGTACAACAAATTTGTTTAAGAACTATCAGCCATGTCAGTATTTATTTATTACTGCTCTCGAGAAACCAGACTTGTGTTTAGCTCGGCTGAACTGTAACACGGACGCATGTTTAGCCTGGCTCAGCGCTACAACAATGACTTAGGTGGAATGACAGCTATTCTCAACAAGACTGCATAGCAAGACCTTGTATGTCAAATCTCGATTAGTATTAAAAGTACGTAATCGGCAAGTGGCCGTCGCCGAAGTATGAAAATTAGCCCGCATGTTCAAAAGAAGGACTCCGAGAACTTGTCGGAGTAGCGAAAGCAAAAATGCTTTTTAAAATATTGATTGCGTACATCGTTACATAAATCCTCCTTTGCGTAATGAAAGGACTGTTACGAACATTTGAAATTTACTTAGGTTCTAACTGAAGCCGATTTCTGGCGCAAGCTGAAGAATTGTATGGAACAAACTATTTTTTAAACCGACAAAATCATGTCTAAAATGTATGTGGTGTTGTGTTTTTTATTCAACTTGCTGTGCTTAGCGAAAATCGCAAGGCAACATTTTGAAGAATAAAGGGAAGGGAACAAGTAGAATGAGCAAAAAAGGAGAAGTTAGTAACTGAAGCATTTCTCCACATATTTGTGTCCTTCTCTTGTTACCTTACCAAAAAAAATGGTTAAAGCAAAATTTTTTATTTCTTTGTTAAACACATTGTGAGAGAACACTATACACGGTACAGAGACCAAATAATTTCAAGAGTGACATCTAATTTCCCTGTTAAAGAGTGATTCTAAACGAATAGGTCATGGAGTTGCGATAGTGCTGTTGTAATGATCGCCTGTGCTGGCGACGTAAGAGCCATCTCTTTGCTTGGATTCTGTCTTGTCGAATCCTTACGGATTTTCGTGAACAGTGCGTCTCTAAATAATGATATGTAACTCTGGAAGATCGAACAACTACGTATACCCAGCATTCAAACGTACAAAAATAAGCAGTTTTTTGTTCAAGAAAGACTTATTGCAACCCTGTTAATTTGCACAGTTAATTTTTTCAGCGCTTTGCGTGCAGGAAAAAAGTGATCGATGCTGAAGAATGGCTCATTCTATTTTTGCATGCTAACAAAGTCTCGCAAAACATCATATGTTGCCCATAATTAAAAACAGGCAGGCAAATTAATAGATTAGGAGATAGACTGTAAGCCTCACCTCTGTAGAATGGTGGTAATCTTGACACTCCCTCGGCAAAGCAGGAAGGGTCCTCGTGATCTGATGAGTAATGCCGAAATCGAAGCCAGTCATTTCTCAGCAAAGCGGAGTTCTCGGTGATCAAAGCAACTGAAGATGGGGCTGAACGTCGTGACTATAATCAAAGAAAACGAGTAGTGGTCATTGGTCTTGTGTTATCTTATGTTTTCCATGAATCACTGTACCACAAGTAATATATACAGAATGGAAGAAGGATACATGTAGTCGGTATCAATGAAAGTTAATGTTTCACGGATGGGTGTGCAATAAATTATTTCATTTTTGTGTTATAAAATGTGCATCTATATTTTTTAAGAGCTTTTAGATATTGTTTGCTTTCCATTGTGTTTTATTGTCTTTTTTATGACTCAAAAACTGGTACAAGGTATGCGGAAAACTCATCCTCTGTGGACAAGGAAGTAACCACGTATAGAAGCCGCAGCTAATGACTGAAATTTTGCATCAACACTTTTTTAGACCTTAATAAGCGTGTCTTGCAAATTGCAATTTGGCCTGGTTCGTTGGAATAAACGGAAATGCCATATAAACTGCTCACAATTGTTTGACATTTTCAATATCGAAACTACTTATAATGGAAATATTGTATCAAATTTCTGTAATGTCATAGGCATTGAAACAATTGTTCTGGCCTTGTTTGGAGAATAGAATAGAAACGGCTAACAAGTTCCCTTTTTTGTAATTCCAATATTTTCCCTGTTTTGATCGCAATAAGTACAAATCTACAAGAATAAAACAAGAGTGGTAGATTTTGTGGAGCAACAGATTTTTTGACAAAATTCAATAATTTTCCATTAGCAACAAAATTGCCAGTTTACCCAATTGAAGAGTTTTGAACAGGTATGATAAAAAGTCTTTTATCTGCGTTTTTGATGTGGGTGAGAAACAGTTGTTTCAGATCTGTTTTGGACAGTAAAATACAAGAAATCATTTATGGAGTAGTTTGAAACACGGTGTGAATTGGAGAAGGCAAAGAGTTAATAGCTATAAGAAAACTGAACAATAACATTCTCACACTTCAGTGCTTAATCGATTGTTTCTCTGAAATGGTTGGAATTTACGGGAAATTACACTTTTGTGAAAAATAAAATCAAGCCTACGCTACACCTATTCAAATCGTTAAAAGTTTTGTTTTCACCGTGCCGCGATAAGATAAATATAGACGGGAGAAGCTACTAAGTGTGCGAAACAGGGCAGCTGGGGAAGGATTTGATCGCATTGGTCAACATTATATTGTACAAATTTAATTATTTCTATGTCCTATGTACGTAATATTTTGGCAATACAACTTCTTTAATAGAAACGGAAACTGTCGGATGTTTGAATTAGTGAATACTTCTTTCAAGTTGTTCTTTCCTTTACTCAGCCTAATGTTTAAAAAAAATAATTGGTGTCGGAGTTGAATTTCATCGAATCGACGTTAGTCAAAACTCGAGGCGTCGGCACATTTTCATAAATGGTCTAAGCTACATATTTAAATTCTAATCTTTAAATAGTGTTTCCTGCCACTAAGAGGAAGCAATCATTGTCTTTGCCTATCAGCATTTCAATTCTGTTTACACTCAGCCTTAACGAAAGTTAAGTTTTAATTACTAGCTGCCGACATTAAGTCCTCATTATTTCTGTCCAGAGGGCTAAGTTTCTAAGACGGTCCACGTAATTCATAATAATATTTAGGTGTTATTTTATGTCCGTCGGGCACAACTTTAATTTTGTTTGCCGTTGACTGTCCGTTGTGGGTAACAATTTTTATTCTCCAGTTCCATGTTTTTATTATCAAGTCAATACATTGTTAACTAAAGTGTGCAGGTGACAAGAGGCTAAAAAGCCATCTGAGCGATAGGGGATACTTGTCTCTATGTTAAACCAAATTCTCATCGTTTAGAATAAAGAGAAGTATACGTAGGTGAGTATTGAGAATTGCATTTTTAACCATGGAACACATGGAACAACAGGACGTCTTTACATGAGGAAAAGTAATTTCAACTCCTTGTACATGTACACAGTATCACTAGTTTACTCTGTTGGATTTAAGGAGCACTTTTCTGCCTTAAAAATTGTCAAAATGTTTTTTAGTAGCCTTGATAGTGTTTTCACATATTAAGCCTAACCGACCAATTGTACTACGAAGTGTTCGCCTATTTTAAAGATCTTTGTTCTCATACGACTTCCTTCCTTATAGTGCACCGTGCAAAAGGGGTTATGTGCTATCCACAAAAACTAGGTACCATCCAAAATATTTTAACGGTGAATCACTGAATATCAAGTTCACATCGTTTCGGAAAAATTACCTTTCTCAAGCCGTTGAAAAACAAAAAGAATCATCAAAACAGCTTTAACGTCACGCTGAGAAGAAACGCCCTTGTGGTTGTGAAATAACAACATATTGCATTTTAATTACATCAAGTCTGCGGAAGAAACTGTGCAAACCAATTTACTCCAAATGAAACTTTGAAACGTTCCCATTTTATACTAGTCAGGCGGACAGTTTTAGCTAGATTTCATTTTTCGTTTAACTAAGTTTGATTAGTTTAGAATTAAACTCCAGATGAGCGAAATAAAAACGACAGTAAAACAACCTGACAAGAAATGGCTCCCGTTTTGCTTCTGATACTCCTTCCCTAAACTGCTACCCGAATGAACCAAGGGAATACGTACTCTACCACACCCTTAGCGACCTAGAAATACGCACATCAAGACTGCGACAAACCTGGTGCAATGAGCATCGTTCGTCGCAGTTCGCTGGAACCTCGACAACCTGGTAAAGTTCACCTCCCAATGGGGTGACCAAAGTCCCATTTGGAAGTCTCCAAGTCGAGCAACTTCGCAGTACATTTTGCGCGTCGTGGCAGCTCAGAAACTTGCAGCCCGGTGGTAGATATTGTGGTAGTCCGTGAGGTAAATGCGAATATTGATATGCCATAGTCAGCTCTAAGTTTCCTGTGAAGTCAGTAGGGTCAGATAAGTAAAGGTAACCATCGTTCAACTTATTAAATTGCGTCTGATCGTCATAGACGATATTTTTTTATTTGCGCGCTGAACAGCGAAAAAAGTTACCCGTAAAATAAGGATTGGGTCAGCCATTTGAATGTGTATCACGTTCGATGATTGATTTCTGACTTGTGCTTTTCTTTTTCCTGTATCGAAGCTAAACATAAAGCTGACCTGAGAAATTACATTTCTATTATTGCTTTACCGGATACAGTGCCACTTTTTGGCTTAAACCGTTTAGAATTAATGCTGCGATGTTTAATCATGAATTCGGGCTGAAAGCGACTAGATGGACCAATTAGTCAGATGCCCACTGAAAGAGAAATGGCAAATTAAAATCTTTCAAAATGGTCAAAGTAAACGACGTTGGCAAAATTACTCGGAGAAAACATTTTGGGTCGTTTTCAGGTCAACGCAGTAAGCATTTAAAAACATTCTACTGTCCTTCGGTGCGGGCAATAGGATCGAATTATCGCATCAGCGAAGAAAACATTTGAATTAGACAAGATTTAGCTGAACAAACAGTAAAATGGACTTGACATAGCACTGTTTCTTTGGTATTTGATAAGGTTATTACAAAAAAAAAGAAAAAAAATACTTCTCGAAAAAAAGGTCGTTCTAATGACCAAGCAATATAAATTTTATTTTCTTTGAACGTTTCTGTATGCCAGAAAAAAATGTGTCCATCAGTTAACTGAGAAAAACGAATAACAGCGGTTTTCTCGTTTTTGTACGAAACGCGTTTGGAAAACGTTCCCTTTTTCAACAAAAATGCATGTCCATCAAGTCTTTTGGAGCGTTATAAAAAGTCTAACTTCGCTACCGTTTTAAGAATTAGAAAACTGAACGGGAGGAAAAGGCTAGAAAAAGATAAAAGTTTCTTGACACCTTGTAAATAAAAACTATCGCGATCAGATAAAGCAAGATAAAATCAAAATTTTTGTACTCTACTTAAGAAAAAAAAACTAGTTTAACTAAAAAAAAATAAAAATGTGTAAAAAAACACTGGAAGAAAAACAAAATTACCTGGTTTGATGACTTACTTGCGCAGAACGTATACTCAATGGAACTTTTTACACCGGTCTTGTGGTCGTTTTCTCTTTGCAAGGCAGAAGTTAAGATCTCTTAAAACCCATTACACACCGAATGAACACAAAAAATGGAAGCGAAAATTGTCACAGCTGTAGCCCTATTATTTTAGCAAAGTGAGCGTCACAGGGATAGACCGATTTGGCAATAAATCACTCAATTGTTTTACGAGCAATAAATAATTTATGGTTAGCGATACGCGCGAGCTAATTCGTTTTTGGACCCTTCACGTTTAAGCATCTGACGCCAAGTTGAGTCTGTCAATTGGATATAAATTATGTTGATTTCATTAAGGTCAGTGGCACTGTTTGTGTATCTCTCTTTCAAGCTCTCACTTCCGTTGGTTCGACAGCTAACTTCCATCCTGAGAAATTTCCAGGTGTTACTTTGCTGTACGCTGACAAAAGTTATAGAAAACTTTTTCAATATTATTTAATTTTCCTTGATGATTTATTTGTGGTCTCATAATAGTAGGTGAAAAGTTGTTCTGTGGGTTCCTCTTCACTACTTCGGAAGTCAGCGACAGAGCATAAACTGAATATGAAACAAGACAGCGACAAAATTGGCCCGAGAATACGTCAGTAATGTACAAAAAATTGGACAATAGCACGTCTGTTTCTATGGCGAATTTCAAGTTTCTTTTATGTTAACTCCACTTGAAAGGTGAAAGCGTATTATGGCTTGAATTTCACTTATTAAACAAAATTTTTCCCTCAAATTTGTGATTAAAATTGATATATTCATCGTCTTGGCAAATTCATGCTCCGTTATTTCGGTCGATGTTATGAAAAATGATTTTATAAGTATTTTTCAGTGAGGTAAAATTTCCGGCAAAATGCATAAAATAGGCCATATACGCCATAGCTAAGGTTTATTTTAGGAGGCAAGTTCAAATTGCCTCCGATGTTGGGTCTAAATTACAATTAAATACTCTTAGAAAAAGTTATTTTGTTTCTTACTTTGCGCATTGGTTTCCACAAATAGCCGTGCCCGCCCCTAGGTCACAAGAATACCTGCAAATTTAATAGGTTGCAAAGTTCATAGCCTTTTTTTTCTTTAAAGGAAAAATATATAAGCTTGTAAAATTTAATTGTCATTCCCCCGTTTATATTTTCCTCTGATGATGTCACCGTTTTAGGCAAATCGATCAAGTGAAGCGAAATTTTAAAGCAAAAAGGTTGTAGCGGAAAAATGGCGACGAAACCGCAAAAGTAATTTTTCTCAATTTATGACGACACTATTATCGACTACTAACAAAACAACACCTTTAATTGCCATTGTTTCACAGAAGTTAAAATTAAGATATTATGATATCGACACATGACGGGCGAAAAAGGGGTGGTATTTGGTTAAAAATCAAACCGCAGATAAGGGTTTTGGCTTACACCCTGCCCATTTCGTTTTTTTTAGATTCTCGTCGACTTAAACCTATTTTTTTTTTAAGTTTTTAAGTTTGCAGAGCGTTCAGATCCTTGTTAAGCCCTGGGAAAAGGACAGATGCCAAACATATGCCAAAGAAAAGGCTAATTAAATAACTTATAACAACTATTTTTCGTGTTTAACCTGTATAAAAGATAATTTCATGGTGAACAAACATTATTTTGTGTTTTGCAGTGTTCAAGTGCGCACAATAACTTATTTATTAGCTTTGGATTTTCCCCTGTATGCTAATTCCAGAGAGAAGTCGCCGCAATCAGTTCAAATGAATAAACCTGTAAATTCTACAATGAACTCGCTAGGATTTCAATTACGCTCTTCTGAAAGCTGTGAGAACATATTAGAGTTCAAATGAGCCAAGACTTCGAAGGACAAGGCCGCTAATTCGTCAAAGAAACATAAGATAATGCCGGTAAACTTACTGCGTACCGACGCAACGATATCGTAAACGCAATCGTTAAAATTGCGTTAAACATCTCTAGGAAAATAAAACAAACGAAACGTGCAAGTAAAAGACTAGAAAGGCTCTGCCATAATACGATTGATGCTCATCACTCTCGACCTTTTAAGAACGTTAATACGTTAGTGGATTTCAATTTGAAACCAAATTTGAAAATTTGGAATATAAAATTAAACCATTATCAAAACAATCAAGCCGGCCCTTGTAGTGGCAACATTTGACAAATAGGTGTAAATCTGTTTATTTTGAGCTCTATTCTTCACAGTTGAGATTATCGCAAATTAAAAATTGTTGCAACACGTAATTCATTACACGAGATTTTTTGGTGGTAAGTGTGCAAAAAGTTGTTTGTTTTATGCTTTCACCGCCAAATTGAAATCCAAGAGCGCTCTCTTGTCCGAACCTTGGCCTGAGTGTGTGTAAACCCTACCATGCAGTGCTAAAAAATGTTTTGGTCAGTTTTTCTTTATTTGAGATATTTCATGATATAGATTTGGTATACCTTAAATACGACTAAGGTTTCAGACAGTCAAGAAATCAGTCAGTTGACTTCCCTTAAATTTGAGCCTGCTTGTTTTAGGATTGATTTGATTTTCTCTCTCTGCTCTAACAGTGGGGACTTGGAATACAGCATTTAACGTCGAAGTGAAATTCATGATGATGGTCACTGTATTATTTACAATAAATGGTTACAGTTATTCAAAATCAATTAATGCGAAATCTGTTTTCCCGGCTCAAACGCACTTGAAAAAAAGAATCTCAACACCCTCAAACAACGTACTACTTATCGATTAATCAATTCATTCTCAATTTTACATTTATTTTTCATGCCTGTTGATGCTTGAAAAGTCTGTCAAATTGAATTTTGATTTAACTTTGCGCAAATTTAGTGTTGTGGTCAAAGCTTGCGTACTCTGCGGCCATTCATTAGACAGTAGAAAGCCAAAAGTCAAGGAAATTAGCATCACTTTAGCTTTCGACTCACACTTACCGCGCGCAATTCTCTACAAATTGTATTTGCTTTGTAATCAGATGTCATTATACTCGAGGAAATATTGGGGGATTTTAAAAACATTATCTGAATTACTTCCTATTGCTTGACCGTCTAAGGCAAACAATGCCAGCCTTAAATTTTATTTTCTTCGAGGCTGATTGCACGTTGTGAATTCTCACGTGAAACAACGAAAAACTAAACACAAACAAGCAGCGAAAAACAGTGGAACCTTTAGAGCTATAAACTAATTGTTCTTTAGTCTGCCAACTGTCCGGCATCCAGAAAACAAAACTCGATAACTCTAGAAGTAAAATTAGCAACTTTAAACGGAGTTATGTCGTCGTTAAATTTTGAGGGTTTGTAAGCGAGAACAACCTTTTTAAGGTATTTCTTGTTCAAGAGGACTCAGTATTTTGCTTCGATGGTGCGGTCAGTCTTGAGCCATCTGGAGAACATATGCTTTCTTGACCAAGAAAAAACTTAAGCTCTGGGCAAGCAGCGTGCTATTTAACAGTGACCACTTCGCCAATAATTTACCATTGTCTTTCACGGGAGTCAAGCCGAGCAAGTTGCTAAGTGGGGTGTACGTTCGAGAACTTTTTCTGAGCCCTTTCATGTTGGATTAATGAACCAGAACGACGGAGGCATAGAACGAATTCCAAGTGGCAATAGGTTGTTTATTATTTCATGAAGTATCGTGGCGTTCTTTCAAAAGAGTAATCTCAACAATTCTCCTTGTAAGATTACTAACACAACTCAGGTTAATTAGAGTTTAAAAATGTTATTTTATCTATATCAATGATAGGAACGATCACAATTGACATGTTAGGTGGAAAAATAAAATCAGCCATTTTTTCGTTAGCGTTTAAGAATCTCTAAGTTTCGTTTTAAGTGATAAAAGTCAGGGATTTAATCTATTCATGTATTTATTCGGGTGGCTAGCATAGAAGAT